GAAGCCAGTTGCTGGACCGTGTGTCCAGTCTGTCCAGGTCTCATTGAAGTCCTGCCTGATCCTCATCCAATTTAATTCTCCTCATTATCTTCACATCACCTGCGAACAGGGACACCTCTGAGTCTATCCCTTCCATCATGTCATTCACATATACCAAAAATAGCACTGGTCCTAGGACTGACCCCAGTGGAACCCCGCAGGTGTGTGTGTGTACTCACCTATTTGTGGGTGCAGGGGTCGAGTCATAGCTCCTGGCCCTGCCTCTTCACTGATTGCTACTAGGTCCTCTCTCCCTGCTCCATAAGCTTTATCAAACCTCGCCTTAAAACTATGTATGGTTCCTGCCTCCACTACGTCACTTTCTAGGCTATTCCATGGCCTGACTACTCTATGACTGAAGAAATACTTCCTAACATCCCTTTGATTCATCTGAGTCTTCAACTTCCAATTGTGACCTCTTGTTTCAGTGTCCCATCTCTGGAACATCCCGTCTTTGTCCACCTTGTCTATTCCGCGCAGTATTTTATGTCGTTATCGTGTCTCCCCTGACCCTCCTGTCCTCCAGTGTCGTCAGGCCATTTCCCTCAACCTTTCTTCGTAGGACAATCCCCTTAGCTCTGGGACTAGTCTTGTTGCAAACCTTTGCACTTTCTCTAATTTCTTGACATGCTTGACCAGGTGTGGATTCCAAACTGGTGCTGCATACTCCAGTATGGGCCTGACGTAAATGGTATACAGAGTCTTGAATGATTCCTTACTGAGGTATCGGAACGCTATCCGTAGGTTTGCCAGACGCCCATATGCTGCAGCAGTTATCTGATTGATGTGCGCCTCAGGAGATGTGCTCGGTGTTATATTCACCCCCAGATCTTTTTCCTTGAGTGAGGCTTGCAGTCTTTGGCCGTCTAGACTATATTGTGTCTGTGGTCTTCTTAGCCCATCCCTAATCTTCATGACTTTGCATTTGGCAGGGTTAAGCTCAAGGAGCCAGTTGCTGGACCAGGCTTGTAGCCTAACATCCCTTTGACTCATCTGGGTCTTCAACTTCAATTGTGACCCCTTGTCTCTGTGTCCCCTCTCTGAAACATCCTGTCTGTCCACCTTGTCTATTCCATGCAGTATTTTGTATGTCGTTATCATGTCTCCCCTAATCCTCCTGTCCTCCAGTGTCGTCAAGCCGATTTCCCTTAACCTTTCTTCGTAGGACATTACCCTTAGCTCTGGAACTAACGTTGCTGCAAACCTTTGCACTTTCTCTAATTTCTTGACGTGCTTGATCAAGTGTGGGTTCCAGACAGGTGCTGCATACTCCAACATGGGCCTGACGTACTCGGTGTACAGTGTCTTGAACGATTCCTTACTAAGGTATCGGAACACTATTCTCAGATTTGCCTGGCGCCCATATGCTGCAGCAGTTATCTGGTTGATGTGTGCTTCCGGAGACGTGTTCGGTGTTATACTCACCCCAAGATCTTTCTCCTTGAGTGAGGTTTGCAGTCTTTGGCTACCTAGCCTATACTCCATCTGCAGTCTTCTTTGCCCTTCCCCGATCTTCATGACTTTGCATTTGGCGGGGTTAAATTCAAGAAGCCAGTTGCTGGACCAGGTGTCCAGCCTGTCCAGGTCTCTTTGAAGTCCTACCTGATCCTCATCTGATTTAATTCTCCTCATTACCTTCACATCATCTGCAAACAGGGACACTTCTGAGTCTAACCCATCCGTCATGTCATTCACATATACCAGAAATAGCACTGGTCCTAGGACCGACCCCTGTGGGACCCCGCTCACCACAGGTGCCCACTGTGATACCTCATCAAGTACCATGACTCGTTGTTGCCTCCCTGTCAGGTATTCTCTGATCCATTACAGCGCCCTTTCTGTTAAACGCGCCTGATCCTCTAGCTTCTGCACCAATCTCCTGTGAGGAACTGTGTTGAAGGCCTTCTTGCAGTCCAAGAAGATGCAATCAACCCACCCCTCTCTCTCGTGTTTTACTTCTGTTACTTTATCATAAAACTCCAGTAGGTTCGTGACACAGGATTTGCCTTCCATAAATCCGTGCTGGCTGGCGTTTATACTCTTCTTCCGTTCCAGGTGCTCCACCACTCTCCTGATAATAGTTTCCATTACTTTGCATACTATGCACGTCAGTGACACTGGTCTATAGTTCAGTGCCTCTTTTCTGTCTCCTTTTTGAAATATGGGTACTACATTTGCTGTCTTCCATACTTCAGGTAGTTGCCCAGTTTCAAGGGATGTGTTGAAGATTGTGGTTAGTGGCACACACAGCATATCTGCTCCCTCTCTAAGGACCCACGGGGAGATGTTGTCTGGTCCCATTACCTTTGAAGTATCAAAGTCCCTTAGCAGATTCTTCACCTCCTCCTCAGTTAAGTGTTTGTCATCTAACACATGTTGGTATATTCCTTGTTGGTGTCGCCCTCTGTTCTGTCCACTCAGAGGCCTTCCTGTCTCCACTGTAAATACTTCCTTAAATCTCTTGTTGAGCTCCTCACATACCTCTTGATCGCTTCAGGTGAGTTCCCCACCTTCTTTCCTCAGTCTGATCACCTGGTCTCTGACTGTTGTCTTCCTCCTAATGTGGCTATACAGCAGTTTTGGGTCAGACTTGGCTTTCAATGCTATGTTGTTTTCGTACTGTCGCTGGGCCTCCCTCATCTGTGCATACTCGTTTCTGGCTCCTTCGACTAGTCTCTCTATTTTCCTGGGTCCTTTGCCTCTTGTAACTTTTCCATTCTCTGTTGCACTTAGTTTTTGCCTCCCTACACCTTCCGGTAAACCAAGGACTCACTTTGGTCTTCCCATTATTTCTATTGCCCTTGGGAACAAACTTTTCCTCTGCCTCTCTGCATTTCGTTGTTACGTATTCCATCATTTCATTTACTGACTTTCCTGCCAATTCTCTGTCCCACTGAACCTCCTGCAGGAAGCTCCTCATACCTGTGTAGTCCCCCTTTTTATAGTTTGGCTTTTCCCATGCAACTCCTGTTAGCCTCTCTAATTGTAGTTCTACTATGTATTCAAAACACAGAACCATGTAATCACTAGCTCCAAGGGGCCTCTCCTAAGTGATGTCCTCAATGTTTGAAACTGCTCAGGGTGAACACAAGGTCCAGTCTTGCTGGTTTATCCTCCCCTGTGTCTTTGGTAGTGTCCTTAACATTTTGATGCATAAGGTTTTCCAGTACCACATCCATCATCCTAGCTCTCCATGTTTCGGGACCCCCGTGTGGCTTCAAGTTTTCCCAGTCGATCTCCCTGTGGTTGAAATCACCCATAACCAGTAACTTTGCTCTGCTCGAGTGAGGTTTTCTGGCCACCTCAGCCAGTGTGCCCACCACTGCTCTGTTGCTCTCTTCATATTCCTCTCTTGGCCTCCTCCAGTTCTGTGGTGGATTATACATCACTGCAATGACTACCTTATGTTCCCCAGACTGAAGTGTATCTACTATGTAGTCCATTCCTCCAATCTGTGTGTGTGAGAGAGTGAGAGTGTGAGTGTGTACTCACCTAGTTGAGGTTGAGGCTGCAGGGGTCGAGTCCTAGCTCCTGGCCCCTGTGTGTGTGTGTGTGTGTATACTCACCTAGTTGTACTCACCTAGTTGAGGTTGTGGGGGTCGAGTCCGAGCTCCTGGCCCCGCCTCTTCACTGATCGCTACTAGGTCACTCTCCCTGAACCGTGAGCTTTATCATACCTCTGCTTAAAGCTATGTATGGATCCTGCCTCCACTACATTGCTTCCCAAACTATTCCACTTCCTGACTACTCTGTGGCTGAAGAAATACTTCCTAACATCCCTGTGATTCATCTGTGTCTTCAACTTCCAACTGTGTCCCCTTGTTACTGTGTCCAATCTCTGGAACATCCTGTCTTTGTCCACCTTGTCAATTCCTCTCAGTATTTTGTATGTCGTTATCATGTCCCCCTATCTCTCCTGTCCTCTAGTGTCGTCAGGTTGATTTCCCTTAACCTCTCCTCGTAGGACATACCTCTTAGCTCTGGGACTAGTCTTGTTGCAAACCTTTGCACTTTCTCTAGTTTCTTTACGTGCTTGGCTAGGTGTGGGTTCCAAACTGGTGCCGCATACTCCAATATGGGCCTAACGTACACGGTGTACAGGGTCCTGAATGATTCCTTATTAAGATGTCGGAATGCTGTTCTGAGGTTTGCTAGGCGCCCATATGCTGCAGCAGTTATTTGGTTGATGTGTGCTTCGGGAATGTGCCCGGTGTTATACTCACCCCAAGATCTTTTTCCTTGAGTGAGGTTTGTAGTCTCTGGCCCCCTAGACTGTACTCCGTCTGCGGTCTTCTTTGCCCTTCCCCAATCTTCATGACTTTGCACTTGGTGGGATTGAACTCCAGGAGCCAATTGCTGGACCAGGTCTGCAGCCTGTCCAGATCCCTTTGTAGTTCTGCCTGGTCTTCGATCGAGTGAATTCTTCTCATCAACTTCACGTCATCTCTGTGGTGTGCGTGTGTACGTACTCACCTAATTGTGGTTGCAGGGGTCGCGACTCAGCTCCTGGCCCCGCCTCTTCACTGACCGCTGCTAGGTCCTCCCTCTCCCTGCTCCATGAGCTTTATCATACCTCGTCTTAAAACTATGTATAGTTCCTGCCTCCACTACATCGCCTGCCAGACTATTCCACTTCCTAATTACTCTATGACTGAAGAAATACTTCCTAACATGTGTGTGCGTGTGTATATGAGTGTGAGTGTGAGTAAGTGTGGTACCCGGCTTACCAACGCTACTCATACCACTCTCACTATACTATGATACTGTAATGCCACAAATACAACGGTGCAGATCTTAAAAGGTAAAAAAGTGCATCTAAAACAACTATACGTAAGATGAATATATTGCTATGACTAAGGCAAGTGTTTTGCACTTACACTCATCTACTGCAACACATCACAATTTATCATACAAACAACATCCCGGAATAAAATACTAAGGCCAGAGTAATAGATACATACCTTTCTTCTTTCCCTTCCCCTTGCGTTTCCTAGGTTGAATATCCCCTGACATCGTAAAATTAATGTAATCCAGTTGAGAGTGAGAGCACCAACACACAACACCTCCTCCTCCAACACGCCGGAGTCGACTAGTCAAAACAAAAAGATGCCTTGTCATATGAGACTCCAGCTTCAACTTTCATGTATTACTCAAACAAGTCTCAACACATTCCTGGTTCAAGATTTTAAATAATTTAACGTGATAACGGTTATTTCTCTTCGTAAATAACAGTCACGTTAAAAACAGTGTTAAGAAGCATCATGCGAGCATCCTGGTCCATGATGATGTGTGCAGACGCTGCTACAGTGATGCCACCTCTAATATTTCCCTTACACACACATTACCTTACATTTATTATATAAACTAATATTAACTCCTAGAAAATTATATCATAATTTACTCTTGAAATACGATACATAAGTGGTGTATACATATTTCTAGAAATTGTAATGAGATGTATTAGAAATAAGGAGATATATCAGAACGAGAAAATATGGTGGTTTGAGAATTTTGGTAATAGTGAAAAAAGCGGAGGGAAATTTCAAATTATTCGGTATACACCCCAGTTCTAGCTTCCTGAATCTAGAGCACCTGTTCCAGTCCCTTACACCAAAGTGAACGAGCCAGTTAGAGTACGGTCGAGTCTTAGCTTGACCCATCCTCTATCGTACCTGCTCTTATTACATTTATTGTAGAGCGCTAACCCCGTATGGGTCATACAGCTTCTGGAAGAATTGGAAGCATTCAGGATCAATCTCAGCAAGGGGAATACTGGTTCAATTCCATAGATGAAGAACCACTCACCTGCATCAAAGAACTCTTGAGAATTATTATTATAATCAAGGGGGAAGCGCTAAACCCGGAGGATTATACAGCGCCTGGGGGGGATGTGGAAGGCATTCAGGCTTAATTCGGGGAACTGGAGCACAGATCCAATTCCCTAAATCAAGAGCCCCTCGCCAACATCAAGGAACCTTCCTTGAGGGGTCTCTTGAGATCTAGTGATCTAGTCTTAAGTTATGCATGAAGCCTGCATCCGCTACTTGCTCACTGAGGCTGCTCCACTTCCCGACCACCCTGACAACACCAACTCCATTATGTGTATTAGTGACTATACTCTATATGACCAAAATACTCTAGCTATATACTTGTCCAAACTTCCCACCAGTACAGGTATCAGTACTAGAACTCAACACACAACTCGGGATATAAATAACCATAATTTAAACCTATTAGATAATTGATCACGTTGACCCTGATCTAAACCAACATAATCTGACACACAATCAAAACATATTGGAAAGTAACTGCCTTTACTATACAGCATCACAAGCCAGCACTATCCTAAACAATGCTAAAAGTCTATCAGTACTTAACTACAACATCAGGTCCTTAAGCAAACACTATGATGACCTCCTGGCACTCCTTGAATCACTAAGACACCCTTCTCCTGCATTATTCTTACTGAGACCTGGCTTAAGCAGGACACAATAGATATCTACCCTCTACCAGGATACACAGCGATCCACAACTGCAGACCATACAAAGTTGGGAGTGGTATTGCAATCTATTACTCTAACCAACTATCTTGTATTAGCACCACTTGCTTTAGTGATGAATATGGAGAATACATTTTTGCTAATTTTACTGTAAAAAACCTTAAGACGCCTATAACAATTGGTGCCATTTACCGGATACCCCACACAAACATCCCAAATTTCAGTGAGAAATTAAAGGCACTAATAACAAACAGACAAATGAATAAGCACCACCTTCTCTTAGCTGGAGACTTCAACATCAACCTTGGCCCACTAGATGATCAGCCTGTAACTGATATCATCAACAATATGAGCAACACACTTCTCATACCAACAATAACTAAACCAACCAGGCTCACTGAAACAAGTGCAACCGTAATAGACCACATATGGACCAATATACTAGCCCCCCTTAATACACAAAGATATTCTTAATACCCTTTGTCGAGTGCGGCCGAAAAAATTCGGTATTAATTACGTGTTTTGGGGGCGTGTCATACTCCGTGCCCCGCGCGGCCAGCTTCCCGTTCTTTAGTTCCAACCAATCACAAGCCTTCCCTGAGTCTCTTCAGCTAAGTACAGTTCGCTTCTGCCGCCTTCCCATTGGTTGAGAGATCAAAATATAAACACTGGTGGCTTGGCTCCGCCCACACACGCATTTTTCCCTCCACCCTTACTAATCTACTCTTGGATTATACATTCTACAATGTCGGTAAGTACTGATTGTTGTGTTTAGTGTTTACATGAATAGTTTAGGCATATTTTGATATATACCTAAAGTCCGTGTGAAGCATAATATGAGTGTAGCATGCAGTTGAAAAAAGTGCAAGCATTTTAGACCGAATTATTTCGGTCTTGCGCGAGTTTCCGGGAATGTCCAATTTTAGTCAAATAAATATTTATAAGAAATTTTCAATTGCATATATGAACTCTGTAGTGGTCTGGATTTATACAGGAGGTTTCTATTGTCCTTCCAGTTCCATGAGAGGCTGTTTTATGGGAGCAGTCGACCAGCAGGTCGAGGTATGTCTGCGTTTCTGAAGACAGTGACTCGGAACCAGAGGTAGACGAACCAGAATTGCTGGATAGTGGTGATGAATACTTGCCACCGGATGCACAGGATGCAGAGATGTCAAGTGATGATGAGGAGGAAGAAAGGGAAGAAAGGCCAGCCAAAAAGCAGGAAGTAATGAGGAAAAAGAGAACTTTTAGGATTGAGGAATACCCGGATGAGGAAGAGATCCATGAGAATATTGCTCTTCAAGTTTCATAAAGACTGATAGAAATTGTTTCTCAGACTCCATCTTTCCATTTAGCAATATAGAATCATTGGTCTTCCAAATGAATCTCAGGAATATAGGGATTGAAACTTGCATCACTTTGCAATTTGGCATTGTTGATATTTGCTTCCTTTTTATATTTTTGTAACAATTAAAAAATGTTTTGATACAAGTTCCATTTATGTTTTTTATATTGTCTGTTTGTATATTAAATTTAAAAAATTGTTTTGGTGTGTTTTATTAACAATTGCAAGTTTGCAACATAAAATTTTTTAATCCCTTTGTCGGGCCCAGCCGAATACAGTAGGGCCCCACTTATACGGCGGGTTAGGTTCCAGGCTACCGCCGTAAAGCGGAAATCGCCGTAAAATGGAACACCCTTTTTTTCCACTTATAAATGCATACAAACACTAGATAACAAGTTTACACTAACATATATTAGTTAGCAATAGAACCAGGCATCAAAAAACAATAAAAAGGTACAATACACACATAGTGCACTCATTACTTACCTTAAAATATTTATAGTCTTAATCTAGGGGAGACAAGTAGTATTTATTGTAAGAAATCAAGTGTGGTATGTATTGTAATAGCCCACCAGGCCACCCACCCACACATACTATTCTATGAATTTAAGCATCCCAGAGCGATAAAATGTATATACAGTTCACTCATTACTTACCTTAAATATTTGTAGTCATAATGTAGGGTCAGGAGTAAGTAAATGAGATAAAACGAATAAATGAGAAGAGAGAAAGAATGAATACATGAGAGGGGGCAGGCGCAGTTATAAAACAAACCAGGCGAAGGTAAGTTTTGTAAACAACGAAGTGTACACGTCTGGTTTGTGTACAAGTTACATTGTGTACAGGTTGTCTCTACATTGATACGGTAGAATTAATAAAGAAGAACACTCCCATTCTCATGTAACATCATTTTGAGAAGAAATGAAGCTCTGATGAAGGCAATGGAAATAAGTCACACTGACTTTTTTGGGTTATCCTAGGTTCTCTACACGTATGTTGTTATGTATGATAATCTATGTAACTGTATTTGTGTATACCTGAATAAACTTACATACATACGAAAAGGAATAATTTTCTACAGTTACCCCCATAACACATTACTCTTATGTTAGATTAAAAGAAAATGTTATTCTTGGCGTCACTTGTACAAGTTATGTGGCTCCCACATCTTATATTTATGTTTATTTATTCTATTGTGGGGTGTATTTATCATCTTTTTATGTTATGTATCGTGTTTATTATATAATTTTGAAAAAAAATATCATGGATGGATTAATGAAAATGTGTATATTACCGTAATATACGACATTTAATGAGAGTCAGTATTGTTATTATCACCACTTGTGCAAGTCGTCTGCTACGACATCTCACATTTGTTTATTTATTCTACTGTGGGGTGTATTTATCTTATTTTTTATGTTATGCATCGTGTTTATTATATAATTTTGAAAAAAAATATCATGGATGGATTAATGAAATATGTGTATATTACCGTAATATACGACATTTAATGAGACTCAGTATTGTTATTATCACCACTTGTGCAAGTCGTCTGCTACGACATCTCACATTTGTTTATTTATTCTACTGTGGGGTGTATTTATCTTATTTATATGTTATGCATCGTGTTATTATATAATTTTGAAAAAAAATATCATGGATGGATTAATGAAAATGTGTATATTACCGTAATATACGACATTTAATGAGACTCAGTATTGTTATTATCACCACTTGTGCAAGTCGTCTGCTACGACATCTCACATTTGTTTATTTATTCTACTGTGGGGTGTATTTATCTTATTTATATGTTATGCATCGTGTTTATTATATAATTTTGAAAAAAATATCATGGATGGATTAATGAAAATGTGTATATTAACGTAATATACGACATTTAAATGACTCGATGTATGTAAGTTTATTTAGGTACAGGTAATACATAAGTATAATTATCAGAGTATATATAAAATATAAATAACTTTTAAAAACATTTGAAATTTTGGAGTTTCCAGACAAAATGGAGAGACTTAGTGCTTACTGAGCTCATGGAGAATGTAAACAAACAGGGTGGGGCACGGTGACCGTATTAGAAAGTCAGGTGGGGGGAGCCGTATAGTGAGTTTTGGTCATAATTTGAAATGTCCGTATTAGCGGAACGCCGTAAAGCGGAACGCCGTAAAGCGGGGCCCTCCTGTATTTTCGGTCTTCGGAGATTAGCAATTGCTCGAAAACTAACCATCAGAAATCAATTTATATGGGATCAGTGACCTTGTATTGAGTTACTCTATCCACCATAGGGAGTTCAGTTCGAATTTCAAATTTTCAGACCCCTTGCACAATGAAGGGTTAAACACTATTCATCAG